CATTACAGATGGCAATTCCAAGCTGGTGGGTAGTGCCCGAATTCGCCAAGTAAGAGTGAAAGGAGACACCTGCCCCATTGCTCCCAAACTCCAGCGTGTGATTCGGGAATGCCATGCCCCATATTCCTTACAAACAGAAGATACATCAGATTATGGGGAACACTGGAACACTTCAGCCTTTGATAACTCCTCTGACTTGAGCTCAGCGTGGCAGTATCAGACTCAGTCCAAACTAAGAGGGCACCCAATCTGGGGCAAATTCGCCATCTACAGAGGAGGAGGATATGTGATTCATCTGGGAACAGATCCTAAGAACGCCTCCAGGTACCACGTGTGCTACCATAAATTATTAGTGAATTTGCTGTAGTGCGAATGCTACTCTTTTCTCTTCCTTATTTAGGATTAATTTCAGATAGCATCCTAAGTTTTGCTACTGAGGATTATGCCTAGCAATTGCAGATAATAGTATGGTGGCTTCAATGTAATTTATGTTCTTATCATCTTGTTCCATGTTAGGAAATAATCAGGGTCCAAAATTAGAATCTGTTTTACTAACTTACATACGTGGATTCCTGATTTACAGAAATACAGAAATACATAATGCTGGAAAACTAATAAATCAGTCCTATCAATGCAGTATTATTGCAATGTTGGATCTAGTCTAGCTTTTAATGTCTAAAGTAAAGAATTTTCAAAGGGGATGTCAAAGGTGGTAAGAAAATAATTCAGCCTAAATCCTCCTCTGTTTTCAGATTATAGTAAGATCTCTGAAGCTTCTTTATCTCCTCCTTTAGTGTTTACACTCCCCAGATCCTTGCAGACAATTTTGTATCTGCTTTCTAGTCATCATTAAAGGAGGAGAATGACTGAAATACTCCTGGAATTAATCTCCTGTGTGAATACGAATAGTAACAGTAAAAGTGAAATAACAGGAAATGAGGCTTTGAAATCCAAGACTTAAAAATAATTTGGCTGATAAGGGACCACAGGTAAATGAGCAGGAAGTAGTACCCCACATGGCTAGAGTCCCAAACTTACAGGTAATTGACATGTTGTTGGAGATACCTGTACAGGAACCTATATGAGGTAGATGATCCAGCTACCTGAAATATTGCCGTTTTAGCATTGGCCAATATCGAGTATCTGATTCTTCAGACGAGACAAAAAGAAACTTAGCACCTAGACTAACAGTGCAAATATCCTCTCTCTTCTTTAGACTTCACCGATCAGAAGTTCTCTGAAATGTCTGGTTTGCCCTTTCTCTGTGATAATGTCCAAACACTCCTATCCTCCGTGTAATACTGTTTCTTTCCTGTATGGGTTAGATGACGGGGTATACATTTTTTTGGCAGAATTCTCCAGTATCTTCTCAACAACGTCTGGCTAGACACCTTTACAAGAGCAGTATTCGTTGAATTTACAGTCTACAACGCCAATGTGAATCTTTTCTGCATTATAAGTCTGATGTTCGAAACAAACGCTTTAGGTGAGAGCCTTTTTTAACTTTCAGAAGTTAAATCTTCTGCATTTCAGAAGACAGCAAGCAATGCATCTACATATTGGATATTTACACGCTGTTGGTGTTTACCGAGTTCTTGATTCAGTAAAGTAAATAGAAGTGTGTTAATAACTCTAATAATGGCAGAATCAATAAAAATTTAAAAAACATTTAGAAGTTGATGTAGATCTAATACTTATGGAGTGCCACAGTAATGCAGACCATAATGGCATATATTATGTTTGCTCATGCTGTAGTCATCTGCTGCTGAAGAAAGCACAGTACTGAAACTTAATCTCTAAAATGTACACAGCAGGAACAATAAAAATTGTTTCCTAATTATTTCAGCTAATCAATACAGTATGAAGACAAAAAAGCACAAATAACAGAATCTCTCTTTTTTGTTCTAGGAAACTTACAAAATGTAGCTATACAATCATTATAATACGCCATATAGATACAACAAAGAAAATAATGAAACTAGATTCTTGCTTGAATAGCATACAAAAAGATGTAATCTGAACAGTAGCCTCCCTCAGGCCTGTCGTGGTATTGCAAAATGGCCAAACCAGACCATAGAATTGAGCTAATTTTCTTTTTAGAATGAGATTAAAATCTACATCTCCAGATCCTACTGTTACATTTTTGCATTTGCGGTCAATCTAAATGCAGCTCTGCTGGGATTACTATTATAAAAGAGAGCATTAGCACTTCAAAAGCCATTGACTGTCTGAAATTCCTGTTTGAGAAAAATTTGAAAGAACATTTCTAAGGCTACTTACATAGTCAATATAAATCTTAGTCTGATAGCCTGATTCAGTCTCACACTGAAGTGAATGTGATTATAGGGGTCTTACTGGGGAAGCAAATTGGTTGAATGAAAACAGAAAGATGTAACTATTAGAGCACTGAGGTGAATACTGTTATTTTTTAGGGGCCTTCTTCACAAGTGCAGACCTGCAAAGTATCCGGCTTTATCCATACACCAACAGTCTCCACATCTTTGTCATTACAGCAGAAGTAATTTATTTCTTCTTTATTGTCTACTACATGGTAGTACAGGTGAGATCCAATGGGAACTTCTGGTGCCAGGTATTCTGTTGCTTCTCATTCTGATCTTGTTTACAAAACCTTTAGGCTGGTACTTGACTTCAGTAGTGCGGCAGTAGATCTGAATCAGACACAACATCTTTCTTAAAACATAGGAAGGCAACACTTT